GAACAGTTTAACCCAAATATCCAGATGTGTGCAGCACATTTTATGGAGGACTGTTTACTGATCCTGGGAGAGTAACGTTAGACTAAAATGCCGGCAGTTCTGACTCACAGTCTGTAAGTACGTTTTCATTTAAAGGATTTGCCACTGATGTTTCAAACGCGAGTTTTGGGCAGTGTAGGGTAGCACTTGTTGTTTGTCATTTCTCTGATCACAAATGCAGAGAGAGTTTTATGTTTACACGGCGCGATGCAATGCAATGCAACGCAACGCGTAAAAAGACAGTATAAATCATTTTAATCAGTAATTATGTCCCCACTGGATGCAACAAATGCCTCGTTTGTAATGGGTTTTAATGTTTTTGTCTCGTCGCTCCGGCCGGGACATGGCATCAACAGTATGGTGAGGGGCGTAACATTTCCGTCTCACGCTTGAGGTATTCGGCCAATCACAACGCATTGGATAGCTGGCCAATCACAGCACACCTCGCTTTTTCAGACCGATGAGCTTTGTAAAAAAAGGACGCGTTTCAAAAAGGCGGGGCATAGAGGAGAAACAATAATGTACAGTATGTGGAAATTAATGTGTTTTTTAAACTTTAAACACATTTCATTACACCAAATACACAAAATAATGTTCTTTTTAGCAGCATCATATGACCCCTTTAAATGAATTAAGTGGCTATCTGACCATTATGTGACAATCTGTTTTTCCCAACTGTGAAAGTGAAGAAATGTTACACATAACCATTTCCTTAAAAATAGGTGATAGAGTCTGAGGTAAAAGCACAACTTCAAAAACACAAACACAAAGAAATATAAACCACTGGAATTTGCTACTTGATACTATTAGTCAGGCACTACACCAAGGGTTATTTGTTTTTTTCCACAGGAATTTTGACAAGCACACAAACCAGCCACTGGGAATCCATAGTTCATGACAGCTACTTTGCAATGATATTAAAAGTGGGATGTTCATTCTCTCTGCCTTCAACGACAGCAGTGACACAAGCCTAGAGATTTGCTGTTACAAAGACTTTGTACTTTGCAGTATTATTGAGTGTTTTATAACAGCACTTTCATCCTTTCTTTACACTTTTGATGATGTCTAATTTTAGTTCTACATCTAACATCACTCAGACTGTACTGCCGGTGCATCAAGATTTTAAAACATTTTTGTCTGTGTCCTCATGTGTTATTTTCCTCTATGTCAACGGTGTCATGATCTTCACTTTGAGGAAAAAGACTGTTTTTCAGGAGGCATCCCGCTATATTTTGTTTGGACACATGCTTTGGGTTGATACGCTTAATCTTTTTATGAGTGTAGTGTTGTTTGTGTGTGCTCTTTGTAGGCTTTTTGTTATGAAAATGGTCTGCCTTGTGCTTCTCGTTGCTGCAACAGCCCTCTATCAGGTTTCTACCTTGAATCTGGCTTTAATGTCACTGGAGAGGTATGTGGCCATCTGCTTTCCTCTCAGACATGCAGAAATCACCACTTACGGAAGAACTCATATAGCTATCGGTGTCATTTGGATGATAAGCTGGATTCAATCCCTGTCTGAGATTATTGTCTTCTATTCCATTGATACCACAAACATAGCAATGCATTTGTTCTGCTCAAGAACTACTCTTTTCAGACTGCAGGTCTATAAGAAACTTGATATAGCTTTCACATGTATGTTTTTCATGTCTGTGTGTTTTGTTATTATCTTTACTTATGCCTCTATAGCAGCTGTCGCTAAAACAGCCGCCTGTGATAAAATGTCAGCCAAAAAAGCCAACAAGACTGTTCTGTTGCATCTGATACAGCTGGGTCTCTGTGCTGCATCTATTTTAGTTGGAGTTATCCAAGAAGTCATTTTCGTTTATACTGACTATATGACTTCATTGAATGTGATGTATTTTTGCTTTGTAGTGTTTATGATTTTTCCAAGATGTTTAAGTCCTCTTATATATGGTCTGAGAGATCAGGCCTTCAGCTGTTTATTTAAATACTACTTCACATTTAGTTTCAAAAGGAAAAACAGTTGTAATACAGAAATACATTTAGTATCAGGTGGTTGAGAAATACCTACGTATCTGACGGTTAAATGTAATCTAAAATGCTTTAGAAAATTATATTTTGTCACTAATTTTTCACAAAATTTCTGTATAATTGCAAAATAATGAACTTCTGTCTTTATACAATGAGCAATTGAAGTTCAGCCACACAAAAAAAATAACTTACCTGTGGCAAAACATGCAAGCATATTTAACAAACAGATTAAACCTGTCACAATGATTACCAGTGCACTGACCACAGATATGGGAAAGTGTTGTTTTTATTTGTCAATGTTTTGCACTTTTCCGGCCATGTGACAAACATAATCACAGTTACTATTGAGGCTCTTTTGCTTTTGTGTCTTTTGTAATTTTATGGAACATATGTAACATCAAATTGGGCTCAGAAGTAACAGCCTTTTGAAAGTTATACAATAAGAAAAATAAAATACACTCTCATTAGTACTGACCACTTGATCAACCACTTATTTTTTTGCTAACATTTTTTTGAATTCGTTTTATAAGGAATTCATATGCAATTGATTTATATGCAGATTTTGTCCATTTTATCTTCTATATTATGTCAAATTTTCTATGTTCTGACGATTTGTTTATTTTTTAATGTAAACAAATTTACAATACTTAGCTTTACAAACTAGATTTAGCAGAAAACCTGTAAAATTAAACTAATAAATGTATAGCAATTTTTAAATATTTTATATTATGTCTATCGTTTCATCATAAGTAGGAAAGGTAAACTGGTTTGTTTGCATGTTTGGCACATGATCTGGCAAGCAGACCATGTTTCTCTCTCTCTCTCTCTCGCACTCTCTGTGTGTGTGTGTGTGTGTACGTACATACCATCAAAAATTAATGTCCGTAAACTGGTTTGTTTGCATGTTTGGCACATGATCTGGCAAGCAGACCATGTTTCTCTCTCTCTCTCTCGCACTCTCTGTGTGTGTGTGTGTGTGTACGTACATACCATCAAAAATTAATGTCTATATTCATACAGCCATATCAGAACTTGTGAGCCACTGATTTTTTCCCCCCAAACCAGTGAACCACAAAAACCGCCCTACAGCTAGTTCTAAAGATTTCATTGATCATGTCACCCTGAAACAGAATTAAAATTATTCAGATGGTAGGCACTGACTACATTCCTCCCAAACATCTGTTTTGGGATTGTGTATGTTTAATGAGCAGGTACAGAATTCTACAAAATGCGGATTGCTTTATGGCAGCAACAAACTTCTCTTATACACTATAACAGCAGTTTTTCTGTGTAAAATTCCAAAATGTTTAATGGAAAACATGTTGAAGATTAGTCAATAGGCTGTTCATTAAATGATAAGCTGTTTTCCCACAAAAGCAGTAGTAAAGCCTCTCCTCCATTGACATCCAACAAATAAATGTCCTCTGGTCTCTCACCCTGCCTACCCCAAGGTTACACTTTTTTTTGCTAACCTTGGGGGCTTGCCTTAAAGGGGCTTTGGTACAGCTGTCCAATGTAATTACAACAGGGATATATTTACAATTGTGATATCTACTCATTTAACTGAAAGGGGCTCCAAATCCACAGATGTTCACAAAACTACATACAGTACAGTTGCTTTAACTGGTTTGGGGTAAAATCATGTGCATAGCTACATTCAGACTATGCCATTGTACTGCTGTGAGTCGCCATTCTCTATGATGAATGTTCAAGTGATTTTGTCTGGAACAAGCAACAAGTTTTTTTTTAAGTAAGTGTTTTCCCTCGCTTCATTTATGCAGTGATCAAGAATGAAAAAATCCACAGATCTAGTAAAAAACCTAGTAAATAACTTGTTGTGGAAATTTTGCTCAGTTCCAATCATATAAGTGTTCCAGGCCGGCTTTTAGTCTCTGTTGTTTGGTGACATGCAACCTTTTTGTTAAAGGGTTAGGGTCACCCAAAAATGAAAATTAGCCCATAAATTACTCACCCTCAAGTCATCCTAGGTGTATATGACTTTCTTCTTTCAGACGAATCCAGATATATAAAAATTGTCTTTGATCTTTCAAGCTGTTTAATGGCACTCAGCAGGTGTTGCAGTGCATCAGTCCAAAAGAAGGTAAATAAAAGCGCCCATCCTTAATAAAAAGTGTCTCACACAGCTCCGGGGGGTGAACAAAGGCCACCTGTAGCGAATCGATGCATTTTTGTAAGAAAAATAACCATTATTTAAAACATAAAAATCAATTTAATCTAGCTTGCGCCAACAGTTGTAAACGGAAGCTGCTCCGGGCTGATGACGTAAGACGTCAGCGTTGCGCATGCGCCGCTCCGAAGTGACGAACGCGGAAGCGCAGGGGAGAGATCGAAACAAAACAACGGTCACTAATTAGAAGTACAAAACAAGGATTTGTAAAGAAGAATGTCGGAGGATTACGATATAAGCCAAGAGGAGACTGGTTTTCAAGTAAAGTAAGGAAACGTCTCTAGGTTACGTATGTAACCATGGTTCCCCGAGGGAACGAGACGCTGCATCGAGATTTGCTTTGGGAACGCCCCTGCATGACTGCGTTCTGAAGCACATATAAAATCAGTCCAATGGAGCAGCAAGACGTCACGAGCGGGGTGACGTGAGCGCCAGGAAGTATAAAAGCGCATCCGGCAGAGCGCAAGTTAGCTTCGATGAAGTACCGCCTGGAGGGATGCAGGGAGTATGGCAAAGAGACGCAGTGTCTCGTTCCCTCGGGGAACCATGGTTACATACGTAACCTAG